AGGAGGAGGAGGAGGAGGAGGAGGAGGAGAGGAGGAGGAGGAGGAGGAGGAGGAGGAGGATGCGGAGGAGAACGAGGAGGAGGACGACGAGGAGGAGGAAAGGATCTCGGGCGGCCGCCCCTCCTAGAGTGCACAGCCTGCGGCGCGGCCTGGCAGTGGTTGAGACCACCCAGCCCTTCGGGCGTAGGTGATTTAGTGAGCTTGTCAACCAGCCTCGAACGTATCCCAATCCCTACGATGGGCGAGCAGAAAGCGAAGGCAAGCTTAGGGATGTGCCCTCAGAAACTGAGGGAATACTTACGATCGGCATCGAGGTGAGGTGATGCCAAACATAGGAATAGAAATAGGTTCAAACTGGTAACTAGTTCCAACAGCATATTCCCCTTCAGGGAGAGGCGAACCCCTCTCCCTACCCCCTCACCTGGGTGGACAGAGGGCCCCGCGAGGTGTCAAATGATAAGCAACGCAAGTACCCCTAACCCTCTGGGAGGGGACCTGAGTTAGGAGGGCCAAAGGCATTAGGGGTAGGGGGCTCTTAAGCAGATGTATCAGACCAAACCGCCCAGAAGAATTATCCCTAACGCGAAGACGGGGACCTAAATGAGGCCACGTCATCGTGCTATTCAGCCCAAAGGTTATTATATTCTCGACGATCAAAGAATCCGTGATGGCCCCAGTTGGCCTGAGACGGAGTCCAAGCTGGCATATGATACAGGGTCCAAGATGGGACATGAGGGCCTCCAACATGCCTCCAGAGACCCCAAGGAATTCCCAAGGTGGATCCACGTGAGCACGGAGGTTCCCGACGATACCCCAAGACCCCCCAAAACCCGCCAAAAATCACGGAGAGGCGCTCAATGGTGTTTGCAAGCTCGCCTGTTCGCGTTCGATGGCCGTTTGAGGCCTCAAGCTGGCTCCAAGCTGGCCCAAAGAGAGCCTCAAGAGGGGCCCAGAGGGGCTCCAGAACGGTCCAACACAGCGCCCAAGAGCGGCCTAAGAGGGCCTCGACCGGCGATGTGTCGGGCTCTCAAGGGGTTGGTCTTCCGAATGTGCGTCTCGCCTTACCGCCGCGCACATTCGTCTTACGCAAGATGCAGGAGTCGCACAGATGGAGGGCGGTTCCTTCTCAAAATGTGGCTGTCGCCACGACTCCGTGCACGTTCGTGTTAACAACTGGCGAAAGTTTCGCGGATTCTCGTGGCTAGCGTTCCGGGCATGGGTGTTCTGGAGCGATGTAGGATCGTCAGGGCGCAACAGTTACTCCAGATTTCGTAATAAAAGGGAGGGGGTCTGGACCCTCCAAGACAAGCCATTTCAGACCTCCCCCGTGGGAGAACCCTCCAAAACATCGTCCCCAGACCCCCCAGGCCCTCCAAGGTAGCCTGGAAGAGACACCCCCCGAAATGAGAACCCCCTCCCTTTATTACGAAATCTGGAGTACATTGATCCGCAGCGTCGAAGTCCCAGGAATGGTGTTCTGGCACGATTCAGGATCGCCAGGACCCAACAGTACGGATGACTCGTGGCGTTGGAAACCCCAAGAATGGTACCCTGGCACGGCTCGGGATTTTCAAATGGTTGTCTCCCAACGGGGCACTTACCCCCTATGGAAATGAGTCCTTCTGTGGGGCCTATGAGGAGGAAGCTTGGAGGGAGGGTTTATTGCAACAGCGCTGACACATCTTAGGTTAGCACAGGTGATCCTCCCCCTCATAGATTCCCCATCATCATCCCACCTAAGGTTCACCTGCAATTGAGTGGGAACGCGTCGAGTTATTTTTCATGATGGTCGCTCTCCTCCTCCTCCTCCTCCTCCTCCTCCTCCTCCTCCTGCTTTTCCTCCTCCTCCTGATCATCATACTCCTCCTATGCCTCATCCTCGTCCTCCTCCGTCTGTTGCTCTTTCGCCTCTTCCTATTCTCGCTCCTCCCTCCACCTCATCTGCTTCCTCCTCCTTCCACCTCCTACTCCAAGAAAATACGGTTGCCCCCCTCTCGTTGTTGTGTTACATGCTTTCTCACTTCCTTGATCAAGGTAACCCGGCTGGGCATTGGAAGAAGAGAAAACGCCGGAAACATCCAGAAACATAAACTTTTGACGCTCCGCGCGGATTTCTTGGACATGCGCTGGAGCCTCTCCCTGACGCGACGGAGCGCGCCGGGAGCGGCGCAGGAGGCGCCGCCGGGGGGGCCCCGCGCGGATCCGAGGGATCCGCGCGGAGCGCCAACAAGTTTATGTGTATGTAGTTTTTTCTTCTCCGAGGCACAGCGTCGGGATGGGCTAGTGGGTGTAGTGGACCGTCCAGGATTGAACTGCGGGGCTGTGCCCCCAAGGCGGGATAGCCCAGAATCGAATCGATAAGTCGGGAAAAGTCGAATCGGCGGAAATCGGCAGCCAAGTCGGGAAAAGTCGAATCGGCGGACATCGGCAGGCCAGCAGGCCTCCACCGAGAACTCGGAA